TCTGGTCTATGGCAGTTTACAAAGAAGGAAGTTCTCAGCACCCTGTTTAAACACGCTCACCCAGGGCGCTGAGGCAGAGGGCACAGCAGCGTGTGTGAATGTTTTGGGAAATGCAAGGTGCTGGTGCTCAGGGAGTGACGTGGCACGTCTCCGTGGTATAGGGATGGGCACTGTGGGAAACGTGGTCAGACTTATTATAAGAACTGCAGAGTGTTTTACTTGTTTATTTTTCTCTTGTCTGTCACCACTGAAAGGTAAGCTCCGAAGGGCGGAGATTTGTGTTGGTTTTGCTCACTGTTTGTGGCAGAAGCAGCTGCCCAAGCTTTTCTCCTTCCCATTAGTAACAGAAGCGTCCCCTCCACTGGGCGGTAGCTGGGTGTGTGGTTGCCAACTGGAGAGTAGACTTCCCAGCCTCTCTTGCAGCTACATGATGCTACGCATCTAAGCAATTGCCAATAAGTCGTGAATAAAAGTTATTCTTGCCCTGGCTGGTATTCTTAGCGGTTAGAGCATTGACCCACACATACTGAAGGGTCTCGGGTTGGATTCCCGGTCAAGGTTCGAGCCCCAGCCCCAGGAAGGGAACCTGTGGGAAGCAACCAATCTATGTGTCTCTCTCACACCGATGTTTCTCTCTCTCTCCCCCTCCCCTCTCCTTTCCACTCTCTCTAAAAATGAAGGAAAAAAATATCCTCAGATGAGGATAACCAACAACAACAAAGTTATTCTTTAACTTCCAGGTCTTGCCTTAAAATGATTGTCTCCTTCCTGCAGGCTAGATACAGACATGGCGAGGATGAGCTATACAAGGACAATGCCTCAGCTAGTGGCCAAGTGACAAAACAGAAGGAGCCTGTGTCCTCTGATGCCAGGTGGACAAAGCCACCCACCAGGCCCAACCACCTGCCGATCTCTGCACAGCAAAGGAGAGGAGTAAAATCCCATCTTATTCTGGGGTCTCTTTGGCATAGCCTGTTATAAACTTCATTGTCTTCCCAAATTTATATGTTGGAGCCCTAACTCCTAATGCAACTGTAGCTGGATCTAGGATGTAAAAGGGGGTCATCCGGGTTCAATGAAGTCATAAGGGTGGGGTCCCAATCCAATAACAAGAGAGACAGCAGACCTCTCTTTCTCCCTCTCGTCCCCCCCCCCGCGTGTGTGTGTGTGTGTGTGTGTGTGCGCCTACACTGAAGAAGGGCCATGTGAGAACAAAGCAAGGAGAGGGCTATCTACAAGCCAGGAAGCCAGGAAGAGAGGCCTCGCCAGAAACCAACCCTAATAGCACCTTGATCTTGGACTTCTAGCCTGTGAGAAAATAAATGTCTGTAGCCTAAGCCACCTAATTGGTGGGATTTTGATATGGCAGCCCTAGAAGGCAGCCTCTCTGTCTCCACTCTAATGTATTGCTGAACCTCCAATGCCCACGACAGAGCTTGCAAATTAGTAGAGATGCAATCAATATTATTTGGATAGATAAATGAATGAGTAGAATACAAAGACAATATTTAACTTGTACTGTGCTATAAAAATGTAAAGGGTTAATGGATTCCAGCAGATTCTATCCATCCA